TGTTCTAATAACACCAAACATCAGCCAAGCAGCACAAATACTGACTGACTTTGACCGTGAGTGTGGAAAGGTCAGATTACAGCTGAATCTCACAAAGACAATGTTCATGAGAAACAGTCTTGTTCCTGATGTTCCATTCACTCTCAACAGAACGACCATCTCTGAATGCAACTGTTATGTGTACCTAGGTCGAGAAGTCAACATGACAAATGACCTGGCACCTGAGTTGCGAAGGAGGAAGAGAGCGGCTTGGAACCCCTTCAAGAGCATTGAAGAAATAACTAAGAGGATAAAGAACCTCCAAATCTGAGCACATCTCTTCTATTCCACTGCACATCTCTTCGATTCTTCCTGCATTAACATACGCCTCAGAGATCTGGGCCCTATGAAAACAGAATGAGAGCTCTATTCAGGTCTCTCAAAGAGGAATCTAAAGAGCTATGCTCCGAGTATCACGTTTCACTCAAATGAGTGAAAGAATCCGGAGTTCCAATCTCCATCAACGCTCAAGAATCAGGGATGCTGTCTCGTTTGCCAAGGCATCAAAAATCAGATGGGCTGGACACGTAATGAGAGTTAGAGATGACTGCTGGACTAGAGCCATTACCGACTGGATTCCACGGGACATCAAAAGATCGCATGGCCATCCATTTACGAGATGACCAGACTTCTTTGTCAAGACCCTGAATGATTGGTTTGAGGCTCTTCGTGTTCCTAGAACGAGCAGATACCATTGGGCTATGCTAGCACACAACAGGGATAAATGGAGACGTTTCTGGCGCACACTCAAGCAAATCAATGAGTAACGGGATATCAAGTGATATCAAGTGACACTGTTGGCATTCACAGTAGTGGGAGATCTGGAAAAGTAAGTCAAATCTTCAGCGAAGATTTAGGATTGAAACAAGCATTTGAAAGATTCTTATGACTTCAGAGGGACTTTTGATGACAATAATTATATATATATGTATGTATATAGCTATAAATATGATATGTTGGCATTTCAACTAGGCTGACCAGAGGAGATTGCTTATCTTGGGGCAAAGAGGTAAATAAGATAACTGATGTGAATTTTTCTAATGTGAATTTTTTGGAACCACAGTATATAAAATAGAAAATTCCCGCTTGTGTCCTCAGAAAAAGAAAACTTAAGGACTGAGAGGCTGATTTTTCCAAAAGAGCTTATTTACAGAAATTTGCTATTCAAAACAAAAGCCAGTCATGACCAAAGTTATGTGGGCTCAGGAAGTTAGCTGGTGTGGATTTTATTTATATGACTAGGCTGATTTTGTCTGCTCTGGGAAAATTTCATTGATGGTATCTATTTTTTATTTAAATCAATTCTCTCCTTTTCTTGCCCATAAATGCAGCCTACTCCATACCCTCAAAATGCTAACCTGTAGATTGCTATGCTCTTTTCCAAATTGCAGTTACTCTCAAATAACTTTCTGTTTTACAATTTTTTAATTTATGTTATTTTGGTAAACAACACTTGGAATTTCAGGGGCTTAGCTAAATAAAAAGATTGAAAAGGAATAATGTGAACATCATCCAAGTTCCAGTGCCCTACCCATCTCCAACATTTTATACTAAAAATCATGATTTTAAAATGTCAAAGTAATTGCTATTATATATGATTTTAAAATGTCAAAGTAATTGCTATTATATGTATATAAACATAGAGATCTACCACCATAGCTTATTTATCCAGTCATCTGCTGATGAATATTTAGAAAAACTGCATATTTCAGTTATTGTGAATAATGCTACTGAGAACATTAGGGCTGCAAATACTTAAATTAGTCTTCTTATATCATTTGAATAATGAAATTTTATAATTGAAGGAAATAATTTGATTGTGGTGTTTTTGAATGTGAAAATATGGCTCTTAAATATCAAATTAAATTTCACAGGTATTTCAAATCAAATACCTTTTGTGCTAGATAAAGCTTGGGAGACTGATTCAGAATTGACAATCGTTTGAGTAGTTTTGAGTGGTAAACAGTGGTTTACACGTATAAATAATAGATGAATAGTAGACATCTCAAACAATGTGTTCAAAATTGACAGAAACTGATGGCTGATTATAGAAAATCTAAAAGAAGATAAAGGTGATGTAAGTATTTTGGACATGGATAATAGAAATAACGGTGTTGTTGAGCTTATATAAAATTGGAAAACAAAGATAACCATTGGTTCATTTGAGTCTGAGAGTTTGAGATGGAAATATTAATAGGGAATTTAAAAACAGGGCATGTAAAAATGGAAGAATAAAGAATAGGGCAAGCTTCTCTGGCAGTGGGTGGGAAGGTCTATCCCAGTCGTCTATTAGGAAGTTGTCAGTCTGGATAGTGTGTTGAAAGTACCTGGAGTTAGTTGGGATGGAAGGGATTAAATCTACGAGACAAAGGGAGGATTTACTCACCCAGCAGTGTGTATGTATGTGTGTATGTATGCATGTGTGTGAGTGTGTGTGTGAGTGAGTTGTGTGTGTGTGTGTGTGTGTGTGTGTGTGTGTGTGTGTGTGTGTGTAACCTAAGAACTCATGCATTCACAGCAGGAGGCAATTTCTCTACCAGTGAATCACATCCTCAATTTCATCCACAAACTTTAATCACCCAGTCTGTGTCAAGAATTTCTGTAAGTTCCAGGAGAGCAGGATAAAGAAGATTTTAAAACTTGCCTTCATAAACCTCTTCCTAGTAATGAATGGACAGGATGACCAATAGTATGAAATGATGAAGTCATAGATAAGGACAGGTGAAAGGCCTTTAAATTCTTCAACAAATTTGGCATCCTTGACCTTCTAGAAGGCAGTTTCAAAATTCTTGGAAATAGAAGTCAGATGGAATGAAGAACACTTGGTAAGAAAATGGTAACAAGAACTTGACTTGCCTGCCTTTTCCCCCAGAATCTATTTTGTTTTTCTCTCTCATAGGCTTTGTTTAGATTTTTTGCCATCTTCAATTTAATTCATTTTTATTGTAATAGTAGTGTCTTGTTAGTTAATCCAAACTTTAACACTAAACTCAGGCTCAAACTTGTTCCCGGGTCACTCTAAAAGTATAGCTTTTTTGTTTTTACCATTTTTTGCTTTCACCATTGCCATATTTTTATCATTCTTGCCTTTTAAATTCAAATGAGTAACATGACTGATAGGAGCAATACACGGTAAAATAATAAAACTCTCCAGGCATCAATAAAAGCTGTTTAATAATCAGCATAAGGGGAAAGGGAAAGAAAAATATAAGATCACTGTTTATGATACTGCAAGAATTTAGACTTGACCATTTTCCTTACACTGCAATACTGAAGATAGCCCATTTAGGGCCCAGACGTTAAGATTCTCTTCACTACCTCTCTTCTAGGAAGAGAGAAAATAGAACATAAACCTGCTGAGAATTTGTTGGAAAGTGCTTCTGCTCTTATCCATTGCTAATCTCAATTAACATGGTCTATTAACAAATACATCATTTTCTTTGGTTTCATTCCAATAAAGAAAGTCATTTATGACTGTCATGTTTTTCCTCTGATTAGCATTATTCTGTGGATTGGACCTCTGTGAAATACTCTTTACCAACTGATCTATCTTTGTCATCCAGCAATCTCTCATACATATTTAAAATAAATGAGCTGGATAATATTAGAATATTAGATGTTTCTTAGTGTGTCCCTCTAATAGGCTGGGCATGGGACTGGAAAGATAGACATCTCCGAGTCTCTGCTGGTTGAAGCCAAGTCACGCTGCTGGTCATAATTGCTTACATTTAGTAAGCAACGATGTTTGTTGGCTTATTTTGACTTCATTAGTATGGTGTGGGGCAATTGGTTTCTGTGTATTTTTATCTGTGAGGATCAGCAATTGTGATTTCCCTTTACTATCCACAGTAATGAACTATTACTGTCCTTAAAGTGCTGTAGTAAATATAAGGTCAGATATCTATATTGAGTAAAGGTTGTTTTCAAATAATGACTCAGATTCTCCGCCCACATTAACTCTGATACATCTAACTTTGAAGACGTTTCTGCTCAAAAATGCAACCGGGGAGGGGATTTCAGAAAATCCTGAAAAATAGAAATACTCGAAGTGTTCCATTAGCTCTTTAGATTTGAAGCAACTTACAGTAAACAGTAATAATACTGTGCAAATCATTAGAAGCTCCAACAGTGTGCTTTCAGCTTTGAGAAATTGCCTGCATTGACAACACGGAGAAAGAGTAGACAAAGATAACAAGCTTTATTCTTTCTCCGCCAAAGCTTTTTCAAGTTAGAGCTGAAAATAATTTGAGAGTCTATGCTTTGATGAAAGAACAGGAGGGGCTGAAAATAATCAGTCCCCTCATCTAGGTCATAATAACATATAAGGTTGCACTTTTAAAGGAGCTCAGGGTCTAGGTACAGTGGGTAGTGCACTTGCCTTGCATACAGCTCACCCAGGTTCAATCCCTGGTAATCCATCTGGTCCCCCAAGCACTTCCAGGAGTAATTCCTGAATGCAGAATCAAGGGTAACCTCTTAGTTTACTTATTAGAGTAATCAAATAATTATTTTTAATTACAAATCAAATAATATATACTTGAATAATCAAATAAATAAAGGAGCTCATGCAGTGCTTGAATGGATGGTGTCTGTCTAATGCTGGTGGGAGGGGTGGTGAAGTGCTGAGGCTGCAAGATTCTCTGAATATAATAACCCTCTCAAAATGTATTCATCAGCTGTGAATTCTCTCTCCTCAATTCACTAACCTGCTGTACCCTATTTTTTATTACCAAACTGTACCCTTATTTCCTTTCCCTTCTTTCTTTCTCCCCATTCTCAAAGTCCTAGACCATCAGACCATCAGAAGAAAGAACAGAATGAGGGTAAGGTTGTGGGGAAATAAAGTGTTTCCTTTCTCTTCTAGCTTTAGCCCCACTGGTATATTTATAATTTCTTATTTGTCCCCACAGGAAAAGTTTGCTTTGTGTTTGAAGTCCTGTTTATGATCACTTTTCTTGTAGGTATCGCTAAAGGAGAAGAGCTAAAAATATTGAGACCCCCAAGACGGCCCCGGATGCCCAAAACATTAAATAACCCTGAAGATTCCTCATATTACTATCTACTACATGTAAGTGGCTCACTCTTATTACCTCCTGGGAGCCATAGCCCCCACGCATAGTCAGTGTGCAAACTCGCCACACTGGCCTGTCAAAAGATGTCCTGCTTTTGCTCCTTGTCACTCCTGGGCCTGAGTGGCAAGGAACTGGGCTCTCCCTCCAGTCCCCATTCCTCTCCTCCCAGTCCTGGACTGGCCTTGTCCTCCAAGTAGTGTCCTCTGGTAGTCCCTTGATCAACCCCAAAGAGAGGTGCAGCTTAGTAGGTACTCTGCTGAAAGGACCCTAAAGCAAACAGAAAGGAGGAAGATGCGAAGGAGGAAGAGGAGGCATGCAATGAGAACTTTATAAGCACCAGTCCTAGGGAGTGATTGGATTGTGGCATCAAGTCCTAGAAAACTCCCCCACCAGGCTGTGCCCATCTCAGAAACCAGGGATGTGAGACACACTAAGGTTCCCCCTTAGGCGTGAAGACCATTGATTGCAATGAGCACCTGACTCCCAGCTCCTTCCTGCATCTCTCAGGTTCTCCCTGAATATCTCTGACATCCCCATGGCTTTGTAAACCAGAACTCACCCCCCATCTTGTATTCTCTCTCAAACCTAACAGCTGCTGCATCACACTGCACTATGGCTTCCCTCAGTAAGTGCTCGCTCCAGTTCTTCTCCCTCCTCTAGCCTCAGAGGAACTACCCCCTTTCATACCATTATTCCCTAACTGGAATATTTTAAACCCCACCTAGTCATTTCTACTATCAGCCATTCTTGTCCTGACCAGAAAATTCCTCTAAATCACAAATCTGATTGTGCTTCTCCCTGAATAAGTTCTCGAGTACAGCCGGAGTCCTCCCTGAGTACCTGAAACTAATCTTTAGCCTCATGCCATGGCTGCCATGTTCGTAGTTAACTCTTAAAATCAATTTTGAGAGCAGCATTCTCTCCAGCCCCTGGGTTTGGTGCTTTCTTGTTCTTTGGTGCTTTCTGATTCTTCTACTTCTATCCTCCACTTTGAGAAAGCAACATTCCTTATAAAGACCCAGACTCCATTTGCCATCCATTGGAATTAAGTTTCCCAGCTCCTGGGCAGGCAATAAATTAACTCCCTTTGATCTCTAAGTCAACTGGTCTCCTAGTCCTGTCCTTTCTCTCTGATGGTTTCTATCCGATTTTGAGGAAGATTCCTCTCCCTGGTGGTACTACAAAGGACTCTGCCGTGGGTTCTCTGCTTCTTTCATTACTGTTGTACATTCTCATCAACTGCCTTGACCACACTGCTAATCTTGTGGTTGAGAGGATCAGGAGTGACATACAAGCTTGGTTGTAGTGTTCACACACTTGACTCTGGTGCTTACATGGGGTGGAGGGATATCACATCTCTGGTTGCAGTACCCATCACAACACTCACTGTGGTCACACACAATTTTATTGGTTATTACTTGGGGACGGGAGCCTAACTCCTGGCTAAGATGTTTGCACACCTTTTTGTTGTGCTTACTGGGGGAACACATATTTAAGTTGTGATGTTGGCTCACACACAGGTGTGCACTGCACACTGTACACTGTGGTGTAGAGATGATCCCAGACAACAGATCTTCTAAGTGCATGTGGGTAGCATTGGGTATCTAAGTCACAGCCATATGCTTTCAAGGCAAGTGCTTTGGCTGCTAAACCATCCCTGCCTTTCCTCAACTGGTTCTTAAATATTTATCTCTGATTTTGATCTCTCTCTCTCTAGCTCTGGACTCAAATATCAAACTGCCTAATGTTTGTTTTACACATTTTATATATATTACATAGACATTTATACATATATACATGCATGTGTATATTTATCATGGGCATAAATGTATACATATATAGTTATGATAAAATATCTCATGGACCAATTTTCCTATCTGACATGCACAATTAAATGGTTTTCAGCATAAGCATGGAGTTGTACAATCATCCTCACAACCAAGGCAGAGCATTTTCATCACTCCAGACAATACTCATTTAGTCATCTCTCTCTATTCCTGCCTCTCACAGTTGACCACTATAGTGTAAGCTCTATAGAATCTCCTATTGTGGGCATTCTAGGCAAATAGAATCACACGTATGTGTATTTCATAAGCGACCAGCTCTTTTTACATACTCCTTTTACATTCAGGCCCATACTCTGAATATTATCTTGACTCCTCCCTCATCTTCTATATCTAAAACTTTATGTCTCAAATACCTGTGGAATTTCTGTATCTCTTTATGCCCTCTGCTTATATCTTTATCCTGCCTCCTCCAGGGCTGCATTCCAGGCAGATAATTTCTACAATCCCATGATACAAACACTGGGGTTTGTTTACATTTCCAACCTCAGTTATTGATATTAATCATTTCCTTCAAACTCACTACCCCAGTCATTCCATCTCATTAAACACAAATTTCTGTGGTTTCAAATTGTCCATAGAAATTTGTCCTAGGATATTCTCTTCTCTCAGCCTAGAACACACTTTTCTTTCTCCTCTTGACTGTGTGACTAAGACATCTCTGCCTCAATGTCTTTTTCTTCAGAAGGCCTTGTGAATACCTCCCACATCCCAGTGGATTTCATCCTACATCCTCCCAAGATGTCCATACTTTCCTATCATGGAATTTTTTTAGACTTCATTGTGATTGATGCAATTTCTGTAAGAGTTTGCTTTTTGTATTAAATGTGACGCCTAGTAGGCCTGCTAGAAATATTTGTGCTTTGCAGTAGAAATGACATCTTTACCTATATGTTCATTGCAGCACTGTTCATAATAACCAAAATCTGGAAACAACTCAAGTGCCCTAGAACAGATGACTGGTCAAAGAAACTTTGGTACATCTACACAATGGAATACTGTGCAGCTGTCAGGAGAGATGAAGTCATGAACTTTGCTTAGAAATGGATAGACATGGAGAGTATCATGCTAAGTGAAATGAGTCAGAAAGAGAGGGACAGACATAGAAGGACTGCACTCATTTGTGGAGTATAAAACAACATAACATGAGGCTGACAGTAGATATATGGGAAAGATAGATTGCTCCATAGCTGGAAGCCTGCCTCATGAGCAAAGGGGAGAAGGCTGCTGGAATAGAGAAGGGATCATGAAGAAAATGATGGCTGGAGAAATCAGTCAGGATGGAAGATGTGTGCAGAAAATAGATAAAGGACCTAACATTATAACCTCTCAATGTCTATTGCAAACCTTATGCCCAAAAGTAGAAAGAGATTATGGGGAATCATGTCTGCCATGGAGGCAGAGGGAGGATGGGAAAGGGGGGTTATACTGGAGATATTGGTAGTGGGAAATGTGCACTGGTGGAGGGATGGGTGTTTGGTCATTGTGTGATTGTAACTCAAACATGAAAGCTTATAACTATCTCACGGTAATTCAATAAAATTTAAGAAAAAACAAAAACAAGTATGTATACTAAAAAAAAAGTTTGTGCTTTGAGTGCAGTGAAATATAATTAGTAGTAATTTGAGAGTATGAATTTTCAGATAACTGCATTTGGTTATTATTTTATTAAGATTATATAGATTAAAAAGTGATATTACTTTTTTCTACCCTGCTATTAAAATAGGATGTATTCTGACACTTCTTATATAGTTAAATAAAAAGAACAGCTGAGATCAAGATTAGAAATGATCAAAAATCTTGTTAACCCCAGATTAAAGTAATAAATGACACTAAATGACCCTTATTAACTGCAGTTGAAATGAAAATTATTATGGCTTCAGCACAACAGAAACCATTTTCAACATTAAGAATTGCAATTTTTTAAATGAAATAAAGTGAAATGCCTGGCACTAACAGCCAACCAGTGAAAAGTTCCAGTTGAATTTCTGAGCCTCACCAAGGCTGAGCCGCTCCCCCACCCCAAATCCTTACTTTGTCACCATCCTGTTGTTTTTGAATGAAAGTAAAATGTTTTTCTCTATATTCAATTTGTATTGCTCTTTCTTTAATTATCAGTGGCTGAGAACCTTTTAAATATGCTGAGTCTTGAAATACCTGACTTCAGTGAGAAAGAGAACATAAGCAACTAGTACATTATAACTGATAACAGGCCATGCCTTACCTGGATTCAGGGTGTTACACATGAGTATATTATTGCTGTGTTGGAGCCTTTCTCCCTTGACCCATCATCCAATCTAATTTTAAGTAGTTTTCAGAAACACATTTCTAAAACATTTACTACTGCACATTTTAAGCCTTTTCTAATTTGCTCAAGGTTACTATAGTGAGCACAGCTGTTGGTACTTTAATCAGGTGTGTGTGGATCAGAGAGGGTTCTACCTTGGGTTCTAGCTTAACATTACAGAAAATTTTTTGTTGGGGCAAGGAAGAAAGGCCCCATCATACCAGTAAATTTTGCTGATGCATCCAGGTAAGGGCTTGGCAGGTTTTTATTTGTAATATGCTAGTTTCCTATGTTTCATTTCTCACTGAAGTGAGAGATTTCAAGACTCATGAGCTTTAAGTGACTCCCAGTCACTAATAATTGAAAATATAATAAAAAATTACTTTAATTTTTAAAAGTTATAGTATCTCTATGGGCTGGAGCGATAGCACAGTGGGTAGAGCATTTGCCTTGCAAGCAGCCAAACCGGGTTCGATTCCTCCGTCCCTCTCGAAGAACCCAGCAAGCTACTGAGACTCTTAGTTTAGCTAAACTGACTTGGGCTGGACACAAGCAGGATCCTTCCAGGTGTTTTGTTTCTAACTAACTGTTCTAACTGTTTCCCCTTGGATGCCACTTTTTACCATGTTTTTTCTGACATCCAAACCCTGTATGGAGATAGTACATGAGTTATGTGCTCAACCCTGATTTGATCCCCAGTTATTCCGCAGGGTCCAAGAGCAGCACCACATCCTCAGTTTCTTATATTGGTTGGCCAAAAATCTCTCGGAGTGGACCTCAGGCCCTCTGAGCACCACTTGGGAGGTTCCCACTCACTCCCACTATGCACTCTCCCCCAACCCGCCCGAAAAAAATTTAAAAAAACCTCTCTTCTATGACTTGATGCTCTTAATACACTAAGAGTGGCACTGCAGTTTGTGTTAGTTCACAACTAAGTGAGCTTCAGGTGGTAAACACTGGCATCAACATGTGGGGGTCTAGGAAATTTTGCTGTTGTCATTTCCAAATCAGAGTAAGCCGAGTCTAAGATGCAATGGAGGAGAAGACATAAAGCTGAGCACATGTCCTATGATAACATGCTGCCTGCTTGCATGCACAGAAGCTGTGTAGCTGTGAGCAAAATGATGGTTTTCAACAACAGTAGGACCAACAGTTTTCTCCAAAAAGGAGTGGTGAACATGCTCTTAGTGAAAGCTATCTGGTTTATTTCCTCTGGTACCATTCCAGAATTATGGTAGAAGGTAGTTTGGTCACTTTGCTTTTTTTTTTTTTCCTGAGGACGTTGCTATTTTCCTCGTCCTTGTGAAGACCTGTAAATACAGAAAGTGTTAGCATATTTCCAAAAGGATAAAAAGATTTTGTCCATGAAAGCCTTGTCATAGAAAGCCTTGTCTATCTTTGGGTCATCAGAAGAGAGAGGGAATGTGACATAACTCTCTCTTTTTTCAATAGCCTCATGAAACACCCTTCCCAGAATCCTTCTTGTCATCTTTTTCTCTGCTTTCTCTCTTCTTTACTCTGGTTCTACAGGGAAGTTTCATGTGATATTTGCTTTTTTTCTTGTCTTTTCAAATCTCAGGTTGGTAGTTTGTGATTTCAGAATGTAACTGAAGAGATTGGAGAGGTAGTACAGTGGATCGGACACTTGCCTGCATGCAGCCAACTCACTTCAATCCATGGTACCCGATGTGGTCTCCATCAATAAGCCCTGATCACTGCTAGCCGTGCTCCTAAAAGCAAACAAAGTGTAACTGAAAATATTGTTTTAGCAATACGTGCATCTAGTTTGTGATACCTGACTTCAATGAGAAATAAAACATAAGAACTCTGTTTTTGTCTTTCCTTTAGTCATTGTTAGGAGAAAAATAAGAGACAAGCCTAAGAGTCCATCTTAACACAAATGCTTCAGTTAGTCCCTCTATTCCAACTTCTGTAGATCATTACCTTGATTGTATTTACTATAATTCTATTATAAATTATCTTGCACAACTTTTGAAAACATATATTATTGATTTTTATTTTATTAGCGTGTTCTAGCATAGGCAAGGAAGAAATAAGCCTAGACAGTATTTGCTCTTCTAATACTCCCTCTCATGGAAAACCAACTTTAACACTCTCCCAGAGACATCAATCCAGAGTAAAAGGGCGCCATCAGCCTGAGAATCCAAGGTCATAATGTTACGTGATTATTAGTTATCTAAAAGCTATCTCTTTTCATTCAGCATAATGCTATCCTAAAGTATATCTTTGGGTTATAAGATAGTTGCCCAAAATAACAATGACCATTAATCAAATAAAAGATCAAAGAGGCAAAGCCCTCTGTCATGTTATGGCAGCTACATCAGACACCTCTGTGACCCCGGGATTTCAAGCTAGACTGCTGGGGGGTCACTGTACCTGTGCCCCTAATTGGATCCAAATATGAAGTAGCAGTAAGAATGAGACAAGGAATATAATTGGTGTCTTGCACCTTACATTACTATTTCCCAAGTGTCTACTTTTGACTCCAGTATATTTAAGCATTTCCTTCTACTTCACTCACCCTCTAAAATACTAATAAGAATAAAAGAAACCAATAATTTTCACTCATCCACTATTTTAGTGTATCACACAATAAGTCATGAGAAAAAATACTCTGTAAAGTCAATATTTACAAACCATTAAGTGACAATTAATTTTATTAACTTGACCTTTTATGGGGCCTGCCATTTGACATCTGCTTAGGGTTTCCACAATTATGTCTTCAACTTAGTCATGGTGAGCAGGGTATTTTTATTCAGCCTAAAGTACATGTATGCTCTTGCATTGTACAACTCTATCTGCTCAAATATATGAGCTAGCACACATGAAATGCATAGTTAATGTTAAAGCATAAAAGGTAAAACTGTTTAGTAATTTAAAATAGAGTAAAACTTTAACATTTTGTTCATGCTCAAATTGAAGTATGTTATATAATTTAATATTCTAATGTGTGCCTTGATACCTAAAGTTCTCAATTATGAGAACATCTTGCAAATGAACTTATATATCATCTATCATTCCACTTTTTCATTGTTTTGTGAACTGTTGTACCTGCCCACACATCCACTCATCTGCTTTCCCTGCAGACATGGTTGGCATAAAAGATGGTGATACGCATGCATGAAGACTTCAAATAGTTTTTAAATAAATTTTACTGTTCCAACCCAAAGCAATCTGATTAATCTGCCCAAGTCAATACTGTATTGGTAATAAAGAGAGGGATTTTTTCAAAAATTTGACATTTTTTCCCCATGTCTAAGTATTACTAAGAGAATAGACCTTATGTAATCTTGTAATCTTGTATGTATTGGTCACTGTGTGGTACTCTCTTATTTCTTATTGAGTATAAAGATTAATCTCAGTCCATGCCTGAAAAAATAACCACAAATTCATAATCAGTAAAATTGGAATAAATTATGTTTCTTTAAATTTAGAAATGTCATACCTACTTGCTTGTTTCTAAATTAGCTTTATAGAAATAAATGTATTTGGATATTCAGAGTATGTTAATCAATATAATAATAGTGTGTGGATTTTTTAAATTTTCCTATTCCCTTTAGAAATCAGTCCAAGAAGAGAGACGAAGACCAAGGAAAGATAGGTAATTTTTATTTTTAGATTTAAATAAGCAATCTTTTCAAACCAAAATATAAATCTACTTGCTCAAAGTATGATTAAAGAGCATCAATTGGATCGCTATGTAGGATAATCCTTACTGTTGCAGTATTCAAAGGACAGATAAAGCATGATGATTGATGTTGGCATGATTCGTGATTAATGTCTATGTGATTAGGGTACCCAATACCCTAAGTGCTCCTATCTGATTCTTCTTGAAAAGACAAAGAGCACCAATTGTGAAATATATATGTATATATGTGTGTATATGTATATATATGAAAAATTTTGTGTTCCTGATACCTTAATAGTAGAGATATGTGGTCTATGTGTAAGGTATATGAGCTTGCCTATTGGAAATATATTAGGCTAGCACAGCAAGAGGACTACAACAGGAATTAGTATAGTTTTGTAATGAATTATATTGTTCTCATATAGAATTTGCTTTTCTGAGTCCACTAAAATGGTTTTTGATTGAGAAGTTTGAACATGCCATTGTCCATGAACCCAAAGTCCTGTTTGCTTTTTGATTTTTGTTCTCCCAAAGTCCTTGCTTTTTGTCCTTCATCAGATGCTAAATCTCATTTGCTATTGTGTTCATTGAGTTATTATTGGTTTATGATATATCAAACTTCAGGGATTTAGCTTTACACCTTTATGTGTATAAAATACTCACCAGGGCCAACCCACCACCTGAAAGATTTCTCTGTCACTTGTTACTATTTTCATAAATTTGTTAGAAACATACTGCTTATAATACCTGAGTTTTAACATAATTAAATTCACACTGTTACCCTTTTCTTATAACTTAAGTCTTTTTCAGCCCATTAATATGTTAACATTTCAATATTATACCACAACTTCAACTAGTTTCAAGACAGTCAAGTTTCTTCTATTAAGCATCTGCTGAGCACAGAGTTCATGATTAATTGATTGGTGGCATTCTGAGAATTTGTTTGTAAATTGGACTACTCTAACTTAGAAAGCACTTTTTCTCAAGATGCCTGCTAGTTTCTTAGAGTTTCCCAGTCCTACACTATTCATCTCATATGAAGTCCCATCAGATTATAGGTATCGAGCACCACCGAAAACAGAACTGTAGTCCAAAGAAATCCAAGAATTAAAGTAATTTAGAATCCTCCACTATGTGTAATACCATACAGAGAAATCAAAATGTAGATCAGAAATGAATCCCCTAAATTAGAGGAGCCAGAGAGATAGTACAACGGGCAGGGAACATGTCTTGCACATGGCCAAAACCGGTTCCAGTCTTGGCACCCCAAGCCCCATCAGGAGTGATCTTGGAATGCAGAACCAGATGTAAGTCCTGAGCACTGCTGACTGTCACCCCAAAACCAAAGAGTAGGGCAAGGTGTGATAGAAGGTTGCCTTGAAAGGAATAAAATAAGCTCATGAATAGTGACTGTGGAATAATGTAGTGACGACTGATCAAACTAGAAAACATTGTCTCAGTGCAAAAAGGTCAGTTTTTCTCACAGTAGCTGGAAGATCAGTTTTGAAGCAGGACTAGCTAATCAAGAATACAATATCTACCACATCCTTCATGCCCTACCGAGGTCATGAGTTGCTCCCCACGAGCGACTCTCTGGCAAGGCCATGGCTCCAGAAACAAAAGGACTTAAATCCAGAACCCAGCAGCTTGAGGCAGAAAAGTGAATGGACCATGCATTAAACTATGGCTCCATGCCTTCCCAGGAGAAAAAGGGTGTTGCTCCCTTCCGCCTTTTTCTCACCCGGCAGCAAGGTGGCCGCTGCCTCAGAGCTTATTGAAAAGCCAGGTATGAGCCAGCGGTGACAGAGCAATTGCAGTCTCATGGGAAGGGGGGGCAGTACCGGCTCATCCTTCATGCCCTACCAAGGTCACGAGCTGCCCCCCACGAGCGGCTCTCTGGCACAGCCATAACACCAGACACAAAGAAACCGATCTCGTAATTATCTGGCTTTTTGCAGAAATCCAAAATCACAAGGCTGCTATTGCGGCCACACGAGATTATATGATTCTCATAACCAGCTATAGAAAACAAAGTATTTCACAATGCCTTTTCAGCAATTCTGATTGTTGAGGGGGGGGAATTCTAAACAATAATGGTGCATCTTTTGTTGAAATAATGAATGTAATCAGTGTAGAGAAGAGTTAAGTGGAAATCATCTACCTCACAGGCATTGGGAGGGGTAGGAGGGGGGTATATTGGGGTTCTTGGTGGTAAAAAATGAGTACTGGTGAAGGGAGAGGTGTTTGATCATTGCATGACCGAGACTTAAACCTGAAAACTTAGTAACTTTTCCCACAGTGATTCAATAAATAAATATAAGAAGAAAAATAAATAAAATTATGGAAAAAAAAGTAAGGTGGAGTTCATGCCCAATTTTATCAGCTAATCAGTGGCTGAATAAATAGCAATACTCCTACATAAAAAATTTTTTTTAATAATTTAAAAATTTAAAAAAATTTTTAAAAATTTTTAAAAATTTAAAAATTAAAAAAAAAATACAGTATCTAGTCACTACTAGTTTTGTTCCAAGCTGAGCAGAGTAGAACCAGAAATGCTGCCCAGAAGCTAAAGCTCTCTAAAAAGTAAGAGATGAGGGACTTGCTTTTCTTTTTTAACTTACAGAATAAACTAATTTTTCACATTTCAAAACTTTTCCCCTTTCTATTGACATTGTATGAGCAAATCCTAAATTATAGTAAGTATTTGATAGGAAGAAAATTAACGAAAAGAGAGATTGACATTGCTGTGTTTATGTGTTCATCACAGTCAAGGGAAACTCTTAGATTTGGAAGATTTCTATTATAAGAAATTTTTGCATGCTGGACCACAGGAATTTGGCCCTCGTTTCAAAGAACAAAGCCAACAGAGGGAACACCTGGATCAGTGTTGTAAGGCTGGTGAAAGGTAATGAACACTTTATTTTATTTCAAATGATAGGTATTCAGTGATGTCAGGAACAAAGAAATAGGAAATTCACTTGGAAATACATTTTGTACTTGATTTTTTTATCTTGCCACTAAACTGTATTTGGCATTAATTTAAATTTGTTATCACAACTTGTGGACTTTTTTCCTGAAAAATTATTTGTAAAGTTTTGAAATTGAGAAAACATAATAACAAGATGGGAAGATGGTAGCAAGACACGCAAAGAACAGCTGTTTTTCCAAAAATCTCAATGAATATCTTGTTGCCAAAGTTACATAAAACCCCTCTCTGTATCTCTCACAAGATGAGCTGTGGGTAAGAAAAAAAGTTTGAGAGGCAGCAGACTTAGACTGAATCCTGATTCTGTCAGTAGCAGTGGAGAGTCCCTAATCCCGTTACTAGACTTCCATTTCAACGTCTTCAAAAGAGATTTACTATGAACTGCCTCACCATGTTTTCAAAGAGATGAAATTAAGTGAAAAATAAATGTGGGGTTCTTAATGCCAGAGTAAAAAGAGGGCTCTTCCATACATAGTGGCTATTATCTTTATTTGCTGTTGCAGAATCTTCCTGCACTTTAATTTCTGCCCTTTATCTCTAAAATAAATTGTATCCTTCCATCTTTGGATTCAGAACTATAACATGTTGGAGCATAAAGCTCTGATCAAATCATAGAATTTCTCTAAGAAAATACCAAGTGGCATTAAGAGTAAGTAACTTGTCATAAGTCACACAATGAGTTAGAGAACTAAAAATCCAGCATATTTTTCTCCCTTCACAATTGCTTTTCTTGCCTGCTTCCCTCTTTTAACCACCAAGTCTGCCTCCTCTCCAGGATAATTTCTGTCTTCTACCACTGCAGATTCACATCTGCTCTGAGAGCACCATGTCCTGCCTGATGTTCCAGTACACCTCTGTAGATACTGAGTTACTGTTCACCAGAATAAGAAAATTCTAGAAGGTAGATGATTTGGATTGGTTAATTATTTTATGCTAGGCACTGGGCTATGATCTCATTTAATCCCCAGAGCATCCTCTCTTATATCACCCATTAAATAACTGAGGAAGCAAAAGTTTAATGATGGTGAAGAGTCAAAGGGTAATAAGGGATGGAGCCATAATTTGAACACAGGATTTTTAAAAAATTTTTATTAGTGAAACACCATGAGGTACAGTTGTAGACTTACAAATTTTTGTGCTTGGGTTTCAATTATACAATGATCAAATACCCATCCCTCCACCAGTGCCCATTTTCCACCATCATCAATCCCAGTATCCCTCCCACCCCCATCCCCCCATTCCCCCATCCCACCCTGCCTCTGTGGCAGGGCATTCCCTTCCCAAAGGATTTTTTTTATTAAAAAAATTTTTAATAGTGAGACATCATGAGGTACAGTTGCAGACTTACACATTTTTGTGCTTGGGTTTCAATTATACAATGATCAAATAGCAAAGGATTTTTTTTAAGTTAAGTATCAGTGACCTTAAACACTAGACTGTGTTGAGCCCCCCTCCCACCCTACCCCCACTTTGTGCGAAGCTGTAGGCTAGGTGTTTGAGGAAGAGTGAGTACAAGGTACAGTAAGACATGAGTCTTATATCTGAGGATCTTAATATTAGAGAGAAATTCTGAGAGGAGTTTTCTAACCTAAGATAAAATATGGAAATAGAAATAATCAAAGGCAGTAGGTCTGGGCTAGAACAATAGCACAGCAGGTAAGACATTTGCCGACCCAGGTTCGATTCCCAGCATCCCATATGGTCCCCCGAGCACTGCCAGGAGTAATCCCTGAGTGCATGAGCCAGTAGTAACCCCTGTGCATCGCCGGGTGTGACCCAAAATTTTAAAAAAAAGCAGTAGATCATCCTCAATAGGATCCTGGATTTAAAGCAGAAAAAATAGCTCTAAAAGACATTTAGGGATTAATGGAGAAATTTTAGGGTAAGGCAGCAGTGGATGGTGAATTGAGTACCTCATGGTCATGAAATAATGCAAACAAGTAGGAAGCATTCAGGAGAATCCATGTCACCTAGCTTTCTCCTTCAGATGGGATTGCACAGGAAATATAAGGGAATGCATAGTAAGACTGAGGTAGGATTTAACTATGGCAAGAAAGTATGAGAAAATAGCACTTGATCATTTGATTTCCCGTTACCCATCGATTTGCTCAAGCAGGCGCCAGTAATGTCTGCATTCATCCCTGTTGCATGCTAGAGTAGCCCAATGGCATCTGCTCGTTCTAGGAACGTGAAAAGTCTCAAACCGATCATTCAGGGTCTTGACGAAGAAGTCTGCCCAACTCGTAGGTGGGCATCCACGTGATCTTTTGACGTCCAATCGAATCCAGTGGGTAATGGCTCTAGTCCAGCGGTCATCTTTAAATCTCATTACGTGTCCAGCCTATCTAATTATTTATACCTTGGCAAACGATACAGCATCCATGATTCTTGAGCATTGACGGAAGTCGGAACTCCAGATTCTATCTTTCATTTGAGTGAAGCGTGATACTCCAAGCATAGCTCTTTTGATTCCTCTTTGAGAGACCCAAATAGCATTCTCATCCTGTTTTCGTAGGGGCCAGGTCTCTGAGGTGTATGTTAATGCAGGAAGAACAGTGGAATCAAAGAGATGTGCTCGGAGCTGGAGGTTCTTCGTCCTCTTAGCTGTTTCTTTGACACTCTTGAAGGCATTCCAAGCTGCTCTCTTTCTCATGCGCAACTCAGGTGCCAGGTCATTCATCATGTTGACTTCTCGACCAAGGTACACATAGCTGTTGCATTCGGAGATGGTTGTTCCATTGAGAGTGAATGGAACGTCAGGAACAAGACTGTTTCTCATGAACATTGTCTTTGTGAGATTCAGCTGTAATCTGACCTTTCCACACTCATGGTCGAAGTCAGTCAGCATTTGTGCTGCTTGGCTGATGTTTGGTGTTATTAGAACAATGTCATCAGCAAAATGGAGGTGGTGTAGTTGCCGACCAACTATCTTCACTCCCATTTCTTCCCATTCTAGTCATCGCATGACGTTCTCGAGGTTGGCACTGAAGAGTTTTGGTGAAATAGTGTCATCCTGCCGAACCCCTCTCTTGACAAAGATGATCACTTCTTTGTAGAATGGTGAGATCCTGGTAGTGAACCCATAATACAGCTCACGGAAGATTCTGATGTATTGAGTTTGTATGCCCTGATTGGCTAGGGCTTCGATGACCACTTCTGTCTCAACAGAATCAAAGGCCTTCTTTAAATCAATGAAGTTTAGACAGAGCGGCATCTTGAACTCCCGAGAAACCTCAATGAGCTTGGTTATCGTGTGGATATGGTCGATGGTGCTGAATTGTAAGCAAGAACCCAGCTTGCTCTCATGGTTGTTCTTCATCTAGTGTTCTGCCAATCCTATTCAGGATGACTCAAGTGACCAGCTTGTAGATGACAGACAATAGGCAGATTGGGCGATAGTTGCCAATGTCGTGGATGTCTCCCTTCTTGTATAGTATTACAGTCCTGCTGGTTTTCCATTGGGGCGGAACCTTGCATTCAGACAGGTAGTGTGGGAAGCCAAGCCAGTGTACTGATGGTAGGTTCTTCAGGTGTTCAGGTCTGACCTTGTCTGGGCCAGGTGCTCTTTGTTTCTTTACCAAGGAGATGGCTTGTTGGATTTCGGAAGGGAGAACGTTGGGAATGACATAGCCACCCTGTGGAATTTGGTATGTGGGCAAGTGGACGTGGCTATTAAAGAGATCTAAGTAGAAGTCATGAATAATCTTCTCCATTGCCCTTCTGGAAGATGTAATAGATACATCAGGATGTCAGAGAGCAGTCAGCTTGGTCTTGTAGTTGGTGAAGGACAGGCGGGCATTATTAATGCTTTTCCAGACTTCTGCCACATCTACCAGCACTGCTCCTCTTCTGTCTTTGAGGTCTTTCTTGATCACTTCTCTGCACTGTTTTGCGAGCTCGGACGTTCGCTTGCGGTTGCCTGAGACATGCACCAAGCCACATTGGTGAATAAGCTCAAGAGTGTTCTAAGACAGGCATTTTTTTGTGGTTATCTCTCTCTTGGCATTCCTCATACAATCATGGAGGTTCTGAACTAGTCGATCGTATTCCTCATCAATGTTTTCAATGACAGCATCTTCCCATGTTGCTGAAACAGAGCCAAAGAGCTCCCAGTTGGTGGTCATTCTAGGAGTTCTCTTCTTAAACTTTTCATATCCCACCCACATGGTAGAGCCTGGCAAACTATCCGTGGTATATTTGATATGCCACATCCAGTAAATAAAATGGATTTCATTTTCCTGACCCTGAATGAGAAATATACAAGGGGAAAAGAAACATTGGAACAGAAGCAGCCCAACTTCTTTGCTTCCAAAGAAAAGAAGCAAAGAATAGAAGGTAAATAAGATGTACATGCTTCTGGCCCATTCCACTCCTCCATAGTTAATGCAACTAGAACTAGCTCTGTCCTCACCTGCTTATTGAGGATAAAAGGCTCTATGCTTTTACCATCTTGTTCTTAGAGATAATAGGTGTGCTCTGCTTAGCAAGTGGTTGGCAATCAACATTCTTAAAATGATGATGAGCTTCGCATGTAAGAGAGTTCAGGACATTAACTCAAAGAGAATTATTTGGGGGCTGGAGTGATAGCACAACAGGTAGGGTGTTTTCCTAGCACGCGGCTGACCCAGGTTCATTTCCCAGCATCCCATATAGTCCCCTGAGCACCGCCATGGGAAATTCCTGAGTACAGAGCCAGGAGTAGCCCCTGTGTATCACTGGGTGTGACCCAAAAAGCAAAAGTGAGAGAGAGAGAGAGAGAGAGAGAGAGAGAGAGAGAATGATTTGCTCCATAGACGCCCATGATGAAGCCACACAAAGACCTTCCTTACCAAGTATCCACTGAGCTCAAGATTCCCTGAAAAATCTTCCAAAGATTTTTTTAAAGGATTTATCCAGAATAGACTATAATAAAGGCATAT